ATCTGATGATTTCTCCATTTTTTCCTAATAAAAAAAATTCTATCTTAATTTTCAAAAATTAAAATATATAAATAAAGTTATGAAAATTAAAAAAAGTCATAACAATGATTTGGTGATTTTGATAAGAAAAAAATAATTTTATATTAGTGTATAAATCTATTAAAAAGAAAAGTAAAATATGTTACTCTCTTTTCAGAAATAAAATATACATTTCAATAATTACTTTTTGTTCTTATAAAAATATATTCTTTACATTTTACTACAAGAAATTTGTTACAAGATTATTGAAACATCACACATCAGTGCTACACATATCTATACAAGAAAAATTTACATCGTTAAATTATTTTATTGTTTGCACATGTAGATTTTTCATATCAACTTCGTTTATTAATGATTTTGCAAATGTATCAGCATTAACTTCTTTATTTAAAAAATCCGACAATAACAACGATACCGGTTTACCGCCTCCGTGCGCCAAGCATTCTCTTCTATAACAATTGCCAGCTGATCGACTGAAAGGATCGTTGTGAAAGTAGGTTTGCCAAATCCATGCGACAATTGCACGAGATATTAAATAAGAATAATATTTTGCACCATATCCAACCAAATGAGAAAATCTCAATTGCCATGCCTATGATAAAAGATAAATTGTAGTATCAAAAATTAATATACCTTAATTAAAAATCGAAACTTAACTCATTATTCAATTTATTGCAAAATTCCATCCACAACTGTTTAATTATTTGCTCAAACTTTTAACATATATTCTTTAGATTTATTTATATATTTAATAAAAAAGACTTAAAATAAATCTTTCGGTATTCTTCTTTGAATTATTGTTAGGCTATATAATTTTTCATTTGATTTTATAAATTTAATAATCGGTTATTTAATAATCTAATGATTCTTCATTTTTTTTCTAATAAAAAAAGATTCTATCTCAATTTTCAAAAATTAAAATGTAAAACGTTAAATAAAACATCCTTTAATTACATTTAAGATTTTATATTGACATTAAATTTTAATTTCTAGAAGAAGAGAATCTAGTTATTGAAAATTAAAAAATTGTAATAATGATTTGATAAGATTTCATAATTAATGTTATAAAATTAACTAATCTCAGTTCAATTTATTCTATCTTTTTTTTAATTGTAAAAATTAGAAAAAGATAAACAGTAAATCGAACTGAAATTAAAATAAATCTTTCATTAATGGAACTAGGTTTTAATTATCTATTTTTTTGTAAATGCTTAACATCTGTATTTTAGAATCAATGCCAAAAATTAATAAAAATACATACCGTATTTTTCACATACGGAAGGCCATAATATTCCTTCTGTACATCTTCTAAAATCTCAATTGTAGATTTCGTTAGTTTACCACTATGATATACTTGATCCAACATACTATAGAATACTTGGTTTTGTAATTCAGAGGCAGAAAAGATATTCTTTGAAGCGCATAATTTGTGTAATAAATTTTCTGGCATTGGTTCTTGAGTTTGAAAATGCTTTGCGAATTTTGATACAACCTGTAATTGCATAAATGAATTAAAACATTCATTGTACATACCGCATTAAGTACTAACTCAAATTTGTATATAAATAATTTTCAGTAATTATAATTCATATCATACTATATATTATTGAATATTTACCCTAGGATCACTCGCAAAATATTCCATTAATACACTAGGTACTTCCGCGAAATCTGTGCTGCATCTAGTACCAGTAATATGTTGATATTTCGTTCGACCAAGCATAGAGTGTAATGCGTGTCCCATTTCATGAAACAAATTGTCCACAGATGACGGACTTAATAAACATGGATTTGACCAACGTGGATGTGGCAGTGACAGCATGACCACAACGATGGGATTCTGAAATTGACGATATAAGACTATTATCATTTCTGTAATTATATGTAAGTGTACAAATATAAATGTATAAGTAGAAAAAAAATAAAAGGAAAACTTGATAACATTGATGACAAAAAAATAACTATTTTGCTATAATATATAACAATTCCATATATATATATCCATACATATATATATATATAAAATAATAATTTATACCTGATAAGAACCATCGGAAAGTTGTTTTCCACCTTGGATTGTAAAGTGACAGTCTTGATTAGGTTTCCCTGCTCTTTCAAAGAAATCACAATAGATATAACCCAAAATTCCTTCCTCTTCATCTATCACAGCTAATTTGTGAACATTATTCGCCCATACTTCTCCGGATAACACTGGAACGGATTCGAGCTTAACTCTGTACAAAGACTGTGTGAGGAAATTTAAACCCTCCATACAGGCACCAAGAGAAAAATATGGAGCAAATTCAGTAGTAGAAGTATTTAACCAAGCTTTTTTCGCCTTTGCTATAAAATAAGGTGCATCCCATGGCATTAATTCCTGTTTAAAATACAGAAAAAAAATTTTATAATTTTGTAAAACAGAAAATAAGAATTAATATCATGAATACCATTTGATATAATTACATGAATAACATAATTATAAATAACATTATATAAATACAGTAAGACTACAGATGGAGACAAACTTGTTTTATACGCGACTCAGCATTTTTCATTTTCTGCATCTCTTGAAAATCTTGCATCGCTTTAGGTTGTAAATTATCGCTTAATATATTAAGAAATTCCTTTACTACAACTGGAGATTTAACCGTACTTCCTTTTATAGCTCTATAATAAGAAATTTTTTAATTACTCATTCATTTTTGTTCAAAAAACTATACCTTCAAATTACCTGTGTGCGTATGATGTAAATCCGCAAGATTCCGCCAGCAGATGCCTGGAGTGCAAAAGTTCATCTAATAAATATTCTTGTTCCTTATCCGGGAATAAAAATAATTTGTATGCCGCTTCGCGAACAGCAGTATTAGAAGAATCTATGTAAAATCCTTGCACTAATATCTGACCATTCTCCGTAACAAAACTGTGAAACGTATCAACGAGATACCATTCTAAAGTTTATACCTTTGAAAAGTTTTTTAAACAAAACGATAGTATTTAGTCGAAATAATAATCGATTAAATTACTACACCTACTATTGCCTGATAACATCAGGTATTACATCAGCATTAACTGTCCTTGGAGTAACGGCACCAGCCATGAATTTTTGTCCTACCTAAAAAAATAAAAAGAAAAAGCATATTTATGGATTTGATGATTAGAGATATTATTAAATAATATTTACTTGCAGGATATAATTATTTAGCTGTACTACTCTTCTTCTTTGTTTTTCAGGCAAGTGTATACCACATTGCTCAAAATCAAATAAGAATAATTTAGCTACATGATCATCTATATCAGATGTCATTTGAGTATCACCATTACTTGTTACTTGCTTTAATGAATCATACAACTCACGATGTGTATTTAATCTGTAAAATATCCAATTTATAAACATAATTGTGTTACTCTTCCATTATCAATAATGTTTATTAAAATAATTTATTATTATCTTTAATAGTTTTTACATATTTTAAATATTTTTTAAAAATGCTTAAATCCATAAATATTTATAAAATAAAATTACAATATAGATTTTAAGGAAAATTCTTAAATCAAATACAATTGTATAATAAAAAATACAATAATAAATATATAAATGAACTGTTAAAGCAATTAAGTACAACATAATTCAAAAGTGAACTTACTTTTCAACAATGCCACTAACAGTTATACAAGCATCTTCAGCAGCTCGAACATATCGTTGATCAGGATGTGCGACTCTAATAAATTCTGCCAAATCCGCCACTTTACATAGCGTATTGGATAATTCATCAAATATTTCTACCATTTTTTTCTTTCTATCCTTGCTTGTCACTTCTTTGATGAGAATGTTGACTTCTGCCAGTGCATGATTTTTTAATGTATCAAAGCCATCCTCAGTTTTTAGCTCCGGAATACCAAACAATCCCTTGGGAATATTTTTAAATGATAAATATAATTTGATAAACAATATAAAATTAGATGCATTTATCTCTATTATGCTTATGTGAATTATTTCAATTTAAATATCAATTGTCAATTAAAGTCATATCAATTTGATACTTATTTTGATACTTAAAGTCTCTCATTTTAATAATTAAATGATAGATAAATTCCTTGAGATCTTACCGTTTCTTTCTTTAATAAACTTATCGGATGATACTTATCAATGGAATTAAACGTTGTGGCGAGGGGTGACCATGTGTTCAATCTTCTATCACATCGTACATTTCGGAAAATTTGCCTCTGAAATATTCGCAGCATCCTTCGAAACTGTAAGAAATTATATCCGGAGAAACGGATCGTTTAAGTGATACAATCCGTATAATGTAAGTCCTTTGCGATAATTAATGCAAAACGATTAACGAATAAACGGTTACCGCGCGTAATGTCACCGACGAGATACTATTAAAGATCCGCTAATTTTATAAAAATTGTATCATTGTGAAAAAGTGTGTAAGTTACTAAGAATAAGAAACTGTAATAATATAATAATAATTTTATGATTTATGTATTTCAATATTTCATTAGACATGTACATATATTTAAAATTCAACAATATTAGATTTTTACTTAAAACTGCGATTTTTATGTTATCGTCTGAGTTTGATTATCAATATAAAAATGAGAACTGTCGAGAAAAAAATTAATTTTGCTACAATATATATGATATTATAGCATTATTTAAGTGTGCATATTTATTTATATATATATATACATATAAAAGTCACGATTTTAATAGTGTATTATTTAAATATTTACGTTAATAATCGAAAATTTATATTAATTATTATCGATAATGTCAATGTTCTTTAATTACCTCCGGATCCTTGAAATCTCTTTCAGCTGTGAATGACAAGAATAAAATGATACTCGAAGGGATTCGGGTGTTTTCGAAAGAAGAATGAGACCTTTATTAACAAAAATTTACCTAAAATTAACGGTTTTTAGTATAGTATCTCATCGATAATTACTTCCATCGATAATTATACCTCTCTGATTACATCGACCGGGATGATTTGAGGCTCCTCTCAGGTTTCCCTCTAGTTGAACTTTCCAATCTTGTAAAATTTATAGTCACTGGTTAATTTGAGGTTAGGTTACTATCAACAATAACAAACTCCGCGTGAATATTATATATTTAATAGTGTTTGATGGAATGGTTTGTGATATTAAGCAATGTAAAAAATGAATAATCAATTAAAAAGATATCTCTTTTGGTTTGCCCACGAGCACGTTGACTTCCGATTAGCCGTGAGTAATTTTTTTATCATGAAACTTAATGATCATTATAGAATGATCATTATAGAATTTCTTAAAGTGATAACTCAAGTGATTTACTATATTCGACAAATATGTGTCAAATTTTTTAAAATATGTTTTATATATTTAAAAGAAATACATTTTTCTAATATTATTGTTTTCAAAGAATTTATGTTATGTATCCTGCAATAAGATTTTTGTTTTAATCAATTTTATATAGGAAAAGAATGCAATGTTATTTTTATATCTTTATTTTTATATCCATTGTTTGCAAAAATATTATATGTTGTATTTTATATTTAAAGAAAAGTTATTTCTGAGCTTTTGTAGTAAATTTGTAAATCAAGATGCTTCCATAAATATGTTTTATATAATGTATTTTATATATACAAAGTTAAGTGTCGTTTTCATATTATCCTAGCTATATTTTTTAGGAAATGGACTCTATATTTGACATGTTTAATGTTAAACCATGCACAATGACAAGGCCGAAGGAACATGTAAGGAAGTAGGAAAATTATTAAGTATATATGATAATATATATATTTTTCTAATAATAATAAGATTTTGTATTTAAACAGGGGTCCCGTAATTTATCTAATAACGCTCGTAGGCAGATAGAGCATTTTTGACTAAACTGAGTCAAAAGTCCTCTATTATTTTGCAATTTTTGCAATAGTTAAGAGATTAATTACTAAAAATTGTCATATATTGGTTTGCAATAATTTTTTTCTCAAATGCTATCAACTTTATAGAAAAACAGCAAGAGATAAAAATTATTTATTTTCTTCTCATAAAACTCTAAGAATTTTTTC